ATAACAAAAGTGATTTAAGTCAGCACTGGGATCAGATAATTTAGTCCTTTACATTGTCAATATTTTACTCAAATTTGGAAAAACCTGTTTCATATCAAACTTCACACTCAATGCTGGAGTTATACCATAAACAGGGCACTTGTGACAATTTGTTTTGCTGTTGGACAGCTCTGATGATTAGAAACTTCAATTTTTATTGTTTGTTGAAATTACATTTCCTGTAAGTTCCAACCATTGGTGGCAGTTATACTTAGAAACAAATAAAAGCTGTTCTCTTTTTATTTAAACTTTAAGTTATAACAGGAGGATAGCTACCATGTTTTTCTTTAGTCTGCTTGTATCCCTTCGTTGCTTCAACAAATATTTTTTGATAGCTTACTTTTGGCAAAGCATTGTGCATTAGCCATTTTTTTTTCCTTTCCAAATTAAACAACTCCACAACTTTCAAACTTTCTTTGCAATATTTTTTTTCCTGATCCCTCAACATTCTAATTACCCTAATTTGCACTTACTCTAGTAATGTCTTCCTAAAATGCAGCACCTAGAAATAAACACATAGAAAAATGTAGATTATCATGAGTAATAATTAATATGTAGGAATTATTAAACTCAGCAATATATTTTATGTAGGCACCAGAGGAAGCAGACACGAAAGTACATGGCACACTATTCTTGCCTTCAGAGAGTTTTGAATCCAATTGGAAATGAAGATTACAATTTTAGATTATATTAAGTATAAAAATAAGCATTATAGGGGCTCAGAGGGTTCATAAATCTGTGTTCTAGAGTTATTACTGGAAGTTTACAGATTCTTACTAGGGTTGGGTCCTGAAAGCTACATTGGATCTGAGTTTAAACAAGCATCCAGGTACGTTGTCCAAAGTATCATAACTATTAATAGGGCCTAAAATGAACCACCCAGATTTCTTTGTTCTTTGCTTAGTCTTTTCCCTACTCTCTAGAGCGGAGAAAAAAAATCTTTGCTTGAGATAGCAAATTAATGATCAAATCTACAATATTTGGAATGGCCACCGGAATTTAAACTTGGCAAAATTCTACTTTTTGTGCTTGCTATCTGTTTAGCCTGCAGCCAGAGAATCGAATTGTCTTTGGGATTGATTTTAGGTACAGCTCAAGCGCAAATAATAGCATTTCTTACAAAAAAAAAAAAAAGAAATTTGTTCTGTCAAGACAGGAAGACTGGAATGGAAACCAAATAGGCTGTGTTTCCGGAATCCTATTTACCCTTAAGCAAGATGGTGGACACCTTCGGCACATGCGCAGAAGCGACGCTGGGGCGGGAAGTTCCTCCGCGTCGGGTCTCGCTCCGGGCAGGGATTGGCGGCGTGAGGGCTGAAGGGAGGAACCGGAAGCACCTGTGTTTTGGGGCTCAGCTGGTTAATTTCTGGCGTCTCTCGCGCGCTTAGTTTACCGCTGTAGTTGGTGCCTTTGCCAAGGGTGCCATGGGGGAAGCGGAGAAGTTTCACTATATCTATAGTTGTGACCTGGACATCAACGTGCAGCTTAAAATGTAAGAGAATCCTGAGAACAGGAAATGGGATTGCTTGGGCATAGCGACGGGGAGGCGGAGACTTGTGTGGAGTAGGGGGCGAATAAACATGGTGAGTGGTCTGAAGGCCGGAATTAGGGCCAGCCCAGAGGGCAGTAGCTAGGCAAACGGAGGAGAGAATCGTGGAGAGGGGCAATGTGGGAGAAGGATTAAAGACGTGGTCTCCATGAGAAGGACAGCGGTAGGAATAAGCCCTTAAATTCCACAATGTTTTACGGTTTTCTAAGCATTTTGCAGTTCAACCTGAGGGGTTATTACTGTTATGTTTTACAAATGAAGAAATCAAGTTTCACCGTAAATAAGAAAGAGGAAGATATTTAGAACGGGGCTGGAGGATGAAGTGTAGGCAGCACATGGGTATAGTATTAATAGCATGGGAGGTGATAAAGGCTTAGGTTGAAACTTTGGGCCGTCTGGCACTGTTAAGGCAGTGCAGCTGGGAATGAGTCAAAGATGAGGGTGCCAGGTGCAAAGGGACCAAGACAGTATGAAAAAAGAGTCTTGCAGAAAAACCATGGGGGCACCACAGGTGAAGTAAAGACCAAGAGCATGACGTCTTGAGATGAAAATAATGGAACTGATATAACAATGGGGGACGGGCAAAACCGAGTTGGAAATTGTCCCTTTTAAAGTGATTATATAGGAGTATTGTCAAAGCTTTTACAATTTATTAACTACATCATTCATAATCAGGGAAAAATTATTGTGTAGGTTCAGTGAATATTCAACAAATATGTGTCAAAGGGCTACATATCTTCAGTATGTGATAAATACATTTTCTCTGTTGTCAGATGTGCCTTCAAAGAATTGATTACTTTTATTTTCAGAAGTCACTTTTTAGTCTCTGACAAATCCTTTACTTTTCAGTTTGTGGTGGTGGTAAAAATAATATGTCAAAAACCAAAACTGTACCTTTGTATGGTACTTTACGTACCTGTTTTTAAGGTCATTTCTGCAGCATACACCACTAGAAGTTTATACAGGATCTGTATTGTTATCATCTGATAAAGGGCTTTCCCTCAGTCTTGTGCCTCTCAGTATTTCTTGGACATATGAATGCAATTTTTGACTCTTTTGAACATTAAAAAGAAATCTGAAAAATGGGTCCATTATTAACATACACACAGATACATACATTAAGTATGTTGAGCTAAAGGTAAAGCATAAAGCAGAAGTTTGGCAAAATTCAATACTAACAGTGCTGTAGCTTCTGAGACTGCAATTGTTGGGTGTTTTTATTTTGTTTGTTTTGGTGGAGGGGAGGCACAAAATGTCAATTTAGAGCCATATCATCAAGAATAGTAAATTTTTTTATTCTATTTATTCTCCCAGGCCTTTTCATCTTTTTTCTATGGTTTTAATAATAACTTGTACTTTGATATCTCTTTGCATCATAATTGAATATCAAACTACCCATGGGACATGGTCACTTCAGATATCCTAAAGCACTATAAAGGCTGCTTGTCCAAAGTTGAGTACGTCATTAGCTTACCTCTAACTCTGACCTTCCTGTGTTTTCTCTCACTCTATATTGATGATTATTAGTTGCATCCTCCAGCAAATTTGTTAACACGGCAAACTGCAAGTCTTGCACACGTCTACCTCTTTCCTTCTCTGTTCAGTCTCTCACCACGTTGTCTTGAATCTACCTGCTAAATTTCTTTGTTCCATGCTCCTATTTCTCTCCTACTACCCCAGCTTTAGTATACTTTTTTCCTTTCTGTTTTGATGGAAATTCTTCTAACTGGGTCTCCTTGCTTTCAGTCCCACCTTTCCAATGGATTCTTATACTGCTGCTGAAATCATAAATACAAATCTTATTATTTTATTCTTTCAGTTCAAATGATTCCATTGACAGATTTTTAAATTGTTCTTTTTGTGCTAGGCACTGTACTTAATTTGTTGGCTACTTAGCTTCATTGTCCAGCCTTCCTTTTCATTCTCACCTTTAGGTTCTTCCCTGTGTGAACTTTATGCTTTAGTTATATCGAACAATTTGCAGTTCTCCAGACATGCTGTCTTGCCTGTTTGGCTTTGTGTATGCTGTTCTTTCCCTTTGAGATGACTTCCTACCTCTATTGCTCCCACTCCTATATATTGTTCAGGCTTATTTCAGGCATCTTTCTGGGATACTAAGTCCCAGCCCCAAGCCAGGTTAAGTGCTCCTGAGACTGAAAGTCTTACTTACTATAGAGGGAGCTCCTTCTTGGCCTGGATTTTATTCTTCGCTCTGTAACTTACTTTCTGACCTTTGGATTATGAGTTTAATCTCTGAATCTCTGCTTCCCCATTTATAAAATAAGAATATGGTGAAAATTAAGTAAGAAAGAATATATACAATGCCTGGCACAGTATTGGATATAATCTTGATGCCCAAGAAATGCTGCTACCTGTTTAATACTATCCTGTGCATACATCTTTTGTGACTTATAACAACAGATAATATATATACATATAAAAAAGTGGGAAGAGTACCCCCCAAAAATGCATTTAAAAGTGAGTTTTTCTCCCCAGAAGTCATGACTTAACATTTTCTTTTAATACTTTATTGTTTATCTTATCTTTCATTTTTTGCCCCTTATGCCTACTACAGTAAATGTTTTTTGAAAGAATGGATGAATAAATGGTCAACTTGAATAAAATGAAACTAAGGCCTGGAATGTTGGTGACTTCTAAATGGTAGATCAAGAGTTGGTGGAAGAGTTTAAAATTCTATAGCCTAAAATAGAGAAATATGTTGATGAAGATAGGAATGATCTTAGGTATGTTAGGATTTTAAGAGACCCATATTATATGTAAAAGTGACTTTAATTTCATGTAGAGGAAAACATTATTTAGGTAGTATAAGATTACCTTGACACAAACATGAACTCTCTTTATTACTTGTACACATGTGTATATGCTCAAAAAAATGCATGTCTAAAAAATTGTTCTTGTACTTTCAGAGGAAGCTTGGAAGGGAAGAGAGAACAAAAGAGTTACAAAGCCGTCCTAGAAGACCCAATGTTGAAATTTTCAGGGCTATACCAGGAGACATGCTCTGACCTTTATGTTACTTGTCAAGTTTTTGCAGAAGGGAAGCCTCTGGCCTTGCCAGTGAGAACATCCTACAAGGCATTTAGTACAAGATGGAAGTAAGTTGTTTTCCTGCATATGGTGGATTCCAGACTATTCTTCCATTTCTTTATGGATGTTACAAATATTAATATAATTTAGTAGGGATTACAGAGGAATTTCTTATTTAATACCTACATGTATTGATCGGATGGTGTGAAGCAGTAACATACTTAGATAAAGTATTATGCATATCCGTATTGTAACTGCAGTTGATATGGAAGTGAATTTATGTTTGTGTTCAGTATATTGACATTTTGATAAGCACATGACTGATTTACAGTGTAACCGAAACCAAAACACATCTGTAGCGTCTTTAAATTCTCTACCATTCGCTGCCCTTGAACACACAAACTCTTCTGGATAGTCCGGAATATTGTCTAACCTGATGTTTGGAGCTCAGATCTTTAGAGAGAGAGATCTATTGTCATCTGTTCAGATAAAATTTTTATTATTATTTTACGTATGAAACTATTTTTTTTAGTTTCATGGTTTATTCAGCATGGTACATTAGCAAAACATTGTCAGGATGCCGGGTAAATGTAATGAACATGAAGTTCTTGTTTTTCGAGAACAATATTGTGGATCCTTAATCTAACCTCTTGACACTTGTTATTTGATAGACTCTCTAGTGCAGTTCTAATGTTCGATCAGTGAGTTTTATTCACTACCCTGGTAGGCTTATTGCAGGATACACAGGTGGTTAGCTCTTAAGGAAGGAGCTTATACCCACAGTATTCATGGAAGACAAGATGAGGCCACATGGACAGCCTGTCTGTGCTGTTGAAGGTACAACCCTGTGTGTACCAGGTATCACCCAGAAGCCTGAATTCTGGTGATTGGGCTACATGAAAACCGATTATTTTAATCGTGTAATCTTTTGTGGCAACATATAGATATATGTACACACACAGAATGCATAGATATTTAATACTTTTTATTCTGGAAAATTTTAAGCCTACAAATGTAGAGAGAATAATATAGTGAACTCCTAAGTGTCCATCACCCAATTACTAATTACTAACTCATGGCCAATCTTATATTCCCACCATTATTTTGAAGCAAATTCCAAACATTGTAACATCTTAACTATAATTATTTCTGTATACTTTTTTGAAACATAACTACAATACCATCATCATACCTAAAACAATGGACCAGAATTCCTTAATTGTATCAGAGATTCTTAAACTGGAATCAGGAAATCTTTAAAACTTTGAGATTATGTGCGAAATTTGTATGTTGTGTATTTTTTCAGGGACAGAGGTCAAAGCTTTAGTTAGATATTTTGAGGTGACCTGTCATTAAAAGAGAGTTAAAACAAATTCGGGTCTAGAAGGTGAAAAACTATAGGGAATTCCACTTTTCTTGGTAAGGAATATTACATAGTGGTTCGGTTCCATACTTTGGCAAAAAGAAATTAGAGAAAAAGCAAATTCCCAATTAGAAGAAGATTAAAATTTTTCTCCTCTTCCTCCCATTTGCCAACTCTTCTTTGCATTATTTTGTATTATATATTTGCAAGGATGTACAAACTCCCGTGTTTGCTCTCCAAAAATTTGAATTTTTTTAATTTATGTTTTTTAAACCATGAAACTACTCAATAAAGTAAGTACTGTAAAATTATTAAAAATGACTTTTTGAAATTAAAA